AAAACTCATAGACAGTCATAATCTTGGAAATTACAGCTTTCTCATGGGTTCTGGAAATAAACACAGTTGTGGAATATTTAATATTGAACACAAGATGGTAAATACTAGAACTATAAAGAAACCTCCATCATTTACTAGTTGTTGTCACGGCAAAAGCATTACAGTTACAGTTGAGAGAGAGAGAGTTGTAGTGGTGGTTAAAAGTAGTTTTTGTTTGCTAGCATTAGCAAGGACCGTTTCTCAAAGATGCGTATATTAATTGTTTTGCTGCAAACACAAAGTTAAAATTGATGGTCCTGTAATCCATTTGTAACAACCTAAGTAAGACAAATTTGAGACAAAATTACGTACAGGCATCGTGGGGTTCAATTACAAAATGGGAACAATTGTGTTCCCAAATTACAGGTAGCACTGCCCCTCTGCGTTTTTTTTTTTTTTTCTGTTTTTTCTAGTCCGGTAAACCAAATATCAGACTGGTTTTTTTGTATGTTTAATTGAAAAAAAAGTTGTCTGGTGTTCAAAACACTGGACAATTCTTCAAGTTTTTCTAGTTTTAAAGCTTGTTGTCCGGTTTTATAAATACCGGACAAAGTCTTTTTAACTTACAAAATGAAAACCCTTGTCTAGTGTTTGATATACCAGACAGTTATTTAGCTCCTTTTAAACGAAAAGAGCCCCAATTTCACTATGCTCTATTTGCTCAATAGTGAAGCCCAAGCCCAAGTCAAGCACTTATCGCAATCTGTATTTCTGAATCCAAGCCCTCTGTGTGACATTCGAGCTAGCTTCTCAAACCACAACCGAAGCAGATATGTTTCAGGAATATATTTTTTTTTTAGCCTAAATGAGATTCGGGGCATTAGGGTTTTGGGATAAAATAACCCCAAAATTTGTAAATGGCGGATTAGGGTTTTGGTTCACATATGAATGTTCATTTTCCTATTTGATTGTGATTGAAAATATACATTGTTAGGTCTTGTTGTACATTCAATTGAATCAATAATGAATATTTATTTATAGATAATAAAAAAAAAAGGATCGGAATGCCTTGAATGTAGAGTTGGGTTACCTTATTTTAAATATATTATTTTATCAAATAATGAACTCAATCTTAGTGTTCAATGGATTTTTATTGATTGAATGTAGTAGGATACCTTCAGTCATGGTATATTATTTTACGTTATTAATAAAAAATATTTTATGCTCCTGTATGCGTGGAGTGTTGGTCATGAAAAAAAAACCCCAATACTGAAGGGTTTTTTGTTTTATCTAGAATATTAAGGGTATGCAATCTTGTAGGAAAAACCCCACATCTTAATTTTAGATTACTTTTATTCGATCTCAGTTATATTATAGCATATTATGTACAAATATTTTTTTTATGATTATGCTAGATCTATTTTATTTTTGCTCTTTATATTTGTTGGTTTTGTTGGAGCTTATGAAGTAAGAAATCTATACCAATTATGTGGACCTTATAATATTAATTCTGCTCACAAGATTCATCCATGGCCACTGATGAAGTTAGATTATTGGTTCACCATGGTGGTTATTTTGAGCGTAACGAGTATGGCAACAGACAATTTATAAAGATGGTAACTTAAAGACATTATTAGAAAGAAATGTATGCAGTAAAACTATTTACCAACCAATATTAATCATAAGATATGAAATTAGATGGCATGGGATATATCATTGACTAGAACAAAAGTCTAAAATACATTTCTTTGAATATTATAACACACCCCCATTCTATCAGATTTAATATCCAATGGCTAAGAATAAGTGTGATCTCTTGATAGGATCATATACATTAAAAAAAACCACCATCATCACATCATAAGCACCAGTGGAATAGAAAACGAACATAGAAGAATTAACTAAGATAAAATCGGTGAATCAGCTAAACACAGGTGAATCAGCTTTATAGATACACAAATATCACATCGTAAATTAATAAAGGGATTGTTTATATAGACATAAAGACATGAAATCAAGAATTACTAAAGTCAATGGCAATTTGTTGATATTAAACATCAATCCATACTTCCCAATGATTGTATACATAAAATCAAATCAAGAAAAATTCATCAATTATTGGAAAAAAAATGTAGGAAAAAAATCAAATAAAAAATACATAAGAGAAATACAACAAAAATTAAAGAAATTTCGAAAATAAATCTCTACTAAATACAACAACAAAAAACACTAATTAATACTTAACCATTTTGGAGATGTAACGTCTTCAACCTAGAGACCAATCTCAAAATATTAATTAATTAAAAAACAAAAATATCAAACCATTAACTTTATATGCTTGAAATAAAAAGCAATCCCAATATTGAATAGGGACTGCTTCATTTTTTGCAGGCAAGATCTTGTAGAGCTCAATATCCTACATTTTAAAAAAAATTGATTATCTAATTATTTTTAAGCAAATCCCAATATTTCATATGAAAAAAGCTTCATGCGGCTTTTTTGCCCAAGGGAGTTAATATACATCACGAGGACAATCTAGTTCCAATTTCCAAATGAAGGAACAAATGAATACTTGATACGAGGAATACCATGCCGCTGGAAACTAACATAACAAAGAACTAATATTACAAATATAATGAACAAAAAATCACCATTGGGTGTTCAGAAAAGAAAAAAAAAAACTCAATACACGATTTGGGGGTATTTTATCCAAAATACCTTAAACACCCAAATCCTATTTTCAAACCCAATCAAAATATCCAAAAATTCTAATCAGATTTTTCACCCATTTTGGGATTATTTTATCCCCAAAACCCTAATTCCTAAATCTTATTTTCCCCAGAAAAAAAATTCTGAAATATACCTGATTCGATTGAGAAGATTGTGCTATGAATTGAGAAGCTTGTGCTTCAAATTGACCAGAGATTGAGCAAAAACAGTGCTGAATTGGCAAAGAGAGAGCAAGAGAAAAAAAGAAAAGGGCACCCATGTCCGGTAGAGCACAGTGAAATGGAGTTTTTTCGGTTTAAAAGAGCCAAACCCCTATCCGGTGTTACGAACACCGGACAGATTCTTTTCAATTAAACGCACAAAAACACATGTCCGGTGTTCGATTTACCGGATAGAGAGTAAACTGGAAAGAAAATGCGGATAGGGAGTAAACTAAAAAAAAAATGCGGATCGGGAGTAAACTGGGAAAAAAAATGCGGGGGATCGGGTTCCCCGAGGCGTGTGAGTAATTTTCTCTGGATTTTAAGGGTCCGATTTTCGGTATGTAACCTCATAGACATAGGAAAGTTTGTAGATCGCACACATGAGAAAAATACCGTTCCAAGATTGTCTATTTTTTTGGACAGCAAGATCTAAGTGTTGAGTAACTAATTTTTTAAAAAAATAAAATAAAATGATTATCCACTGGTTTTCCGCTAGATCCCAAAATTTCAGGAAAAAAAATTCTCCCAAGTATCTTTTTGCTCAAGGAAGTTAATGTACATTGTACTCCTGAGGGAACAATGCTACACAGGTCAATAAAATATTTAGAAAACACCCTCCTCTTGATATGTGGAAAGCCCTAGGGTTTCTTATAAGGAGAAAGTAAAAATTCCAATTGTATTTGCTTCAAAAGGGCAAAGACGGAGATGCCAAAAGTTCATGGTTTCCGTACAGCAATGGACCTGGTCGCTTAGCCTTACTAGTGTTGTCACATTCGCTTCCCTTCGGCCGAAGCAGACCAAACCTTCGGATTTTAAGCCTACACTTAAGCAAAGCGAGGTTTGGTATTGTTGTTTCGGTCCGTTTTGTATTGCTTCCGACCAATTCGATGGAAGCAAAGAAATATATGTATAAAAGTTTTTTATTTTTTTGAATTTTTTTTTTTTATTTTTTATTATTTTTATCAGAAGCGATCTTACAAGACCCTTCTCCACCCATGCGTATAAGACCCTAACTGATCACTATTAAATTTAGCACGGATCTATAAAATAAGACCCTAACTGATCACTATTAAATTTGGTACGGATCTATAAAAAAATTAAGTCTCACACCCATATGATAACTTTTCTAAAGATACGTGTCAATTTTAATGTTATCTTTTGGGGTCCTACTTATATGGGTGGAGACGATCCTAAAATTACTCTATTTTTATATATAAATATCTAATTTATTTATATTAATTTTTTTAAAAAAATATGAAATCTTTTTCCAAAAACACCGAATTGTTTTATTTTTCTCGCCAAACCCATGAAAACTCCAAAGTGAATCTGAATCTTACCCTAAAAATTTTAGGCTTTGACCACAACGTGGGGCTAGAGGGCCTCGCCCTACTTTTCACTTTTATTTCTCTTTGATTGTGTTTGGCCCGGCCTAATGAGACCAAGGCCATTTCAGCTGAGTACAGACCGAGCTAGGGCCAATGCCCAGCCTGTTGCCAGTAATACAGTAGGTATCCAAACCAAATATATTGTTTAATATTTTGAAATTGAATATGCATTTCCTTCAAAACATGGCACA